TTTACTCTTATGTGGGCATGTATTAGTTCCTCTCCTGGCTTCACGTTAGTCTTGAGTACATTGGATACTTGTTTTTCCATTCTTATGATACTTTACTAAGAAGATGTGCTTCAACTCCATCCAGATTAATACAGAACAATGTAAAGTCTCTAGTTTTTTTATGGCTGAATAGTATTCCATGGTATACATATAGAACATTTTGTTCATCCAGTCCTGGGCTGGTGGGAATTCAGGTTGTTTCCACCTCGTGGCAAATGTAAATGGAGCCACAATAAACAGTCTAGTGCAAATATCCTTATGATAGAATGATTGTCTTTCTTCTGGGTAGATGCCCAGTAGTGGGATGCAGGGTCATAAGGTAGGTCTAACTTGAGTTCTTTGAGGATTCTGAGTCTCCATGTTTCCATAGAGATTCTATGTGTTTGCAGTCCCACAGTCTAAGGGCTCCCTTCTCTCCACATACACACCAGCATCTGCAACTTCGGGACTTTGTGATGTGGGCTATTCTCATCGGGTTAGGTGATATCTCAGAGCAGGTTTGATTTACATTTTTCTGATGATTAGGGATGAGGAGCACTTTCTCATGTATTTGTTAGCCATTTGTCTTCCTCAGAGAAGGTTCTGTTCACTTGTCTTGCCCAGTGATAAATGGGATTGTCTGTTCCTTTTCTGTTGATTAATTTGAATTCTCTGTAGATTCTAATTGTTAACTCTTTGTCAGATGCATAACATGAAAATACCACTTCCCGTTCTGAAGATTGTCTATTTGCTTTAACTATTGTGTCCTTAGCTGTGCAAAAGCTTTTCAGCTCAGTTAAGTCTCTCTTTTTTTTTTTTTTTTTTCAGTATTGGCTGAGGCTGGGCTTGAACCCGTCACCCCTGGTCTATGGGGCCAGCGCCCTACTCCTGGAGCCACCCTTTAAGTCTCATTTTTTAAATTTTTGTTGTTGTTCCATTGCCACAGAGGTTTGTCTCTTCATAAAATCCTTTCCTAGTCCCAAATCATCAAGAGTTCTTTCCATACCTTTTTTCTAAGATTTTTATGATTTCATGTCTTAGATTTAAACATTTTATCCATTGTGAGTTAGTTTTTGTAAGTGGTCAAAAGTGTGGGTCCGGTTCCAGTCTTTTTATTGTGGTCATCCGGTTATCCCAGGACCATTTTTGTGGAATAGGGATTCTTTTTTTCACTGTATGCTTTTGTTAGGTTTATCAAAGACAGAGACTGGTAGAGACTGACAGAGACTTATGTTAGTTCTATTAGTTCCATATGTTAATGTCTCTATGTTTGTGTCAATACAATGTTTTTTGGATAACTGTGGACTTGTAATATAACCTGAAGTCTGGTAGAGTGATGCCTCCTGCTTTATTTTTATTACTAAAAATTGCCTTGGCTCTGTGGGGTTTTTTTCTGGTTCCACACAAAATGAAGTACTATTATTTCAGGTTCTTCGAAGTATGATTTTAGCATTTTAATAGGGATTGCATTGAATCCTTAGATTGCTTTGGGTAGAATAGACATTTTGACAGAGTTGATGCTTCCCAACTAAGAACAGGGCATGTTCTTCTATTTGTTGATGTCTTCTGATATTTCTTGTCTTAGGGTTTCACAATTCTCTCCATAAAGATTTTTTACTTCTTTTGTTAGGTATATTCCTAAGTATTTCTAAGTTTTTCTTTGAAGCTACTGTGAATGGAATTGTGTCCTTGATTTGTTTCCCAACTTGGCTACCCATACAGGCACTATAGGCTACCAATTTGTGGACATTAATTTTATACCCTGAGACTTTACTGTATTTCTTGATCACTTCCAGGAGTTTTATGGCTGAGTTTCTGGGGTTTTCTAAGTATATGATATTATCATCAGCAAAGAGGGAGAGTTTGATTTCCATGACCTGTATTTGGATGCCCATTATGTCCATCTCTTGCCTGATTGCATTGGCTAGAATTTCTAGAACTATGTCGAGTAATAGTAGCAATAGTAGACATTGCTACTAGTGGTTCCAGTTCTAAGTGGAAAAGGTTTCAGTTTTACTCCAATCAGTATGATGTTTGCTATGGGTTTGTCATAGATGGCTTCAATCATTTTGAGAAATGTGCCACCTCCTATAATTATCTTCTTAAGTGTTCTTGTTAGAAAAGGATGCTGAATATTTTCAAATGCGGTTTCTGCATCTATTGAGAGGATCATATGGCCTTTGTTCTTTCTCCTGTTTTTACTCGCATCCCGTGATGAAGCCTACCTGATCGTGAATGTATACATTTTTAAGGTGTATCTATAATCAATTATCTAAGATTTTTATCGTGAATTTCTGTATCACTATCACTATTCATTAGTGAAATTGGTCTGGGGTTCTTCTTTTTAGATGGGCTTTTCTGAGTTTTAGAATCAGGATGTTTGCTTCATAGAATATGTTGGGAGAAGAACTTTCCTTCTCAGTATTTTGAGATAGGTTCTGAGGTATAGGTGCAAGCTCTTTGATGGTTTGATAGAATTCTTGTGTGAAGCCATCTGGTCCAAAGCTTTCTTTCTTTCTTTTTTTTTGGAAGATACTTTAATTGTTTCTTCCATTTCAGTGTTTGATATTGGTCTATTCTAGAAATCTATTTCTTTTAGGTTAAATCTAGGGAGGCTGTGTGCTTTCAAGTATTGGTCTATTTCCATTTCCTTAAGATGATTCATTAGGTATTGATGTACTCTCTTTCTGTTTTCCAATGTAGGCATCTAATGTGATAAATTTCCCTAGTAGGATTGCTTTGTAGTGTCCCACTGGTTTTGGCAGCTTGTCACTTCATTGTTGTTATGTTTGAGGAATTTAATAATTTCCTCCTTTATCTCTTCTTTGACACCGGCTGTCATTCAGCATAATGTTGTTTAATTTCTATTCCTTTGTGTGGTGATAAAAATTTTGTTGGCATGAGTCCTAACTTATTTGCCTTATTGTCTGAAAAGACAGAAGGTATAATTTCAATTCTTTTAATTTTTTTCAGTTGTGATTTGTATTCCAGGATATGGTCATTTTGGAGTGTGTTCCATGGGCTGATGAAAAGAAAGTATATTTTTTGCCTTTGGGATGATGTGTTCTGTATATTTCTGTTAAGCTCATTTGTTCTAGAGTCATGTTTAAGTCCCTGGTATCTTTGTTTAGTGGATCTGTCCAGTTCTGTTAAAGTCCTCAGCCATTACAGTGTTATGGGATATCATATTGCTCAGACCAATCAAGGTCTGTTCCATAAATCTTAGAGCATTTTAGTTGGTCCATAATTGTTTAGAGTTGAAAAGTCCACTTTTTAATTGTTTCCTTGATTAGTATGAAATGGCCATCTTTGTCTTTCTTATCTTTAGTTGCTTTAAATCCACTCATATCTGACAATAAGATTGTGACCCCTCCTTTCTTCTGATTTCCATTTGCCTGTTTTCCAGTCCTACATCTGGAGTTTCTTTTTGTCTTTCAAATTTAAGTGTGTTTCAGGGAGACAGTATATAGAAGGGTTGTGCTTTTTAAAGCAATGAGCCACCTTGTGCCTCTTCAGTAGGAAAGTCAAGCCATTAACGTTTATGGAGAGAATTGTTAAGTGTGGTGGAGTTCTATATATCTATTTTGTTAAAGTCCATTGCTTAGCTTTATGCTGTGTGCCATTGTGGAAGCTAAGTTTTATCTTTTAATTTCTGGGTGTTTACTTTCCTGGTGGTCCATTGTGATGGTCAGTATGGAGAATCAGTCAAGTATTTCCTGTAGAGTTGATTTTTTTTTTTTTTTTTAGACAGAGTCACACTTTGTCACCTTTGGTAGAGTGCCATAATGTCATAGCTCATAGCAACCTCCAACTCTTGGGCCCAAGTGATTCTCTTGCCTCAGCCTCTCTTGTAGCTAGGACCACAGGTGCCTGCCACAATGCCCAGCTATTTTTAGAGACAGGGTTTTGCTCTGGCTCAGGCTGGTTTCGAACCTGTGAGCTCAGGCAATCTACCTGCCTTGGCTTCCCAGAGTGCAAGGATTACCACCACGTCTGACCCTAAGTAGAGCTGATCTTACTGTGGCAAATTTTCTCAATGTTTGCATATCAGTAAAATATTTGAATTCTCCATAGATTTTGAAGCTTAGGTTAGCAGGATATTGAATTTTGGGCTGAAAATTGTTTTGTTTAAGAAGGTTAACTTAGGGCACTACTCTCTTGTGGGTTGGAAAGTTTCAGTGCTGAAAAGTCATCTATCACTGGTGGATATGCCCCTATATGTCAACTGGCACTTACTCCTGGACTCTTACAGAATTTTCTCTTTCATCTTGATTTTTGAAAGCTTCATTACAATATGTGTTAGAGATGCTCTGTTTGTGTTGAGATGATCCAAGGTTAAATACCCTTTTAAAATGAATGTGTTGGAATCTTTGGTAATACTTGGGAAATTTTCATTTATGATATCCTCCAGTAGGGCTTCCATTCTTTTGGGACATTCTTCATTAAGGATACCTATAATTCATATGTTTGAAGGCTTCATGAAGTCTCATAATTCTCTTAGTGAATGCTTAGCTTTCTTTCTCTTCTGTTCTGCCTCTTTAATTGCTTGGGATAGCTCAAGAGCTTTCTTCTCTAGCTCTGAGATTCATTCTCCTCCATGCTATAATCTGTTACTGATACTTTCTACTGCCTCTTTCAGTTCCCTGATTGACTCCTTCAATGCCTTAAGCTCTGTACATCCTTTCTATATTCTTCATATCTTTCATCCATTATTGGTTTCTATTTTGGATTTCCTTGTGATTAGTTTCTATTTTCTTTTCAATTCCCTTCATTGTTTTTGCCATCCATATTGTAAATTCCCTTTCTGTCATTTCCATTATTTCTGTGTAGGTGAAATCTTATGAAGTAGTTACTTCATGTTTCCTTTGGAAGGTTGCTCTGTTCTGGTTTTTCATGTTACAAGAATTTTCTATTGGTTCCTTCTTATATGTGTTTTTTTTCATGTTCACTTCCTTCTTCTTTTTCCTCTCACTATTGCCTCCAAAAATATGTAACACTTCACCAATTTTAAGGTCATTCTTACACTGAGGCCATGCTAATTTTCTCCGTACCTTACTAATTTTAGCATATGAGATGCTGAAATGAGCAGTTATTTTTAATTTTAGAGGGATCTCCATACTGTTTTTCATAGTGACTATACCAATTTATAGCAGTTTATACCAATGTATAGCAGTTTCTTTTTCTCCACATTATTACCAGCACATCTCACTTACTATAGTGACACTGTGGGCAACACAACTAGATTCAAATAAACTATGTTTTAGAGTTATATTATTCTTCCTCACCTCCTTAGATACCCGGCCTTAGACATCCACCAATGATCTATTGTGACTTTCCTGGAATCTTCACATGATACAAACATCTAGGAATATTGCAAAGGGGATCAGAAAAATTGTGTTTGAATTTTACATCCATTGTTTAATGTTGTTTTTACGCTGAAGACATGTTATTAGCATTTGGTGAGATTTGATATTCTTACTTATGGAGGATAACAAGTGCTTTACGAATTTTTTGAGTAGGAAGATTATAATCATCTTATTAGTGAAAGGCACCATGATTGGCCCCTTATCATGTCCCTGTTACTAGGGTAAATACTTTGTACATATTTTCTTATTTAAATCTCATAATAATTATTTATGTTTGGTATCATTTTTACATGTATATTGTTAATGAGAAACTGACATTCAAAAGTTACTTACATTGTCTTATGTCACAAGTCTAGCAGGCATTAGACATGAAACTTTAGACTATCTTCTTCCAAAGCCCACAGTTGTACCAAACAATATACCATAAATGTATGATAAAAACTCACTGAAACAATATAAAATGTGAGAAATGTGAGCTCTTTGTGAACACTGACCCACAATAATTGAGGAATATTTTAGCTTGCTGAACACAAAATTTACGCACTGCTCTCTCTTTTATAGATTATATTCCTAACTATTATTTTCCCTGCATCTTAATCCAAATTTAGATATAGTTTCTCTGTATCCCCTCAGGTCACAATGGCTAACTTATAAACTAATTTATTATAGAAAAAACATTAGAAGTGAAATAGACCTTGTAGTACCATGTCGCACATTTCAAACTATAGTCTAGTTAAGAAAGTGTCCCCATCTTGGTCAGTGATCCCATGCTTAGAAATCTCAGGTAAAAATTGGGAAAAATAGCCTCATTTAGAACTGATGAAGGAGAAATTTAAAGATAATAAGAAACTAGTATTGCTACTAAAATTATATGCTTTGGATAAATACTGGGAAAATTACCTATTGACAACTACTGCAATAAATAGTTGCTAAATGATGTTCTACATAGCATAGTTTCAGTCATTTAGAAGCTCATAGTTAAAGGAAGAGGACAGACATGTTTCTATAGAAATATGAGCAATGAACAGCAGCAGGAAGCTCTGAGAACCTAATTGAAGGAAAAGTTATCAAGGAAAGTTTTAGCTAAAGATGACATTTTAGTTAAATTTTGTTGAATAAATAGGGTTTTGCTAAGGATACTTTGGGCATGGTTTGAAATCAAGACCACACATATAGTAAATTGTGTCCTCACTTATGAAGAATCATGTGTCAGAAACTGTAACAAGTAAATTATAATGACACTTCATTAGATGTTCACAAAAACATTTAAAATAGTGACTTTCCCCTTTTTATAGATTAAAAAAGAGACCCATCAAGGTTAATTAAGAGATGGCCAAGTGATGGTGGATTCAAGACCATCCCGACATTCTTACGCCAGATACTTTGCTTTTTTATACTTTAACTCTCAGCAAAAGCAGTAAGCCAGGAATTAACAATAAATAAATAACTCCACCAACTGAAAAGGCAATGGATACGAGTGATATGATAAAATGTGAATACAATTTGGTAATTCTCTTCACAGATTGAATTGTATTACCTCTAAGGGACTATTGTAGGGGGACCAGACCGTCCTGATTTTGGCGGGACGGTCCCACTTTTCAACAATTTGTCCAGCGTCCTGCACATTTAAAAAAAGTCCCGATTTTTGGAAAGAATGCACGAAGGGGCTGGAGAACAAGAAGGGAATATACGGTTTTTGTCCACCATGTGGCTATTTCGCCAGAATATGAGTTTTATATTATTTTTGTTAATTTTATAATGTTAAACTGTAATAAATAAATGCTGAGAAGTGATTATCGAGAACTGCTTATCAAAGTCTGCCTTGCTGTCAGGCCCTGCCTGGCACTATCCTCTGCCCTGCGCCCCGGCTCCCCCCGCCCCCCGTTGTCCGGCCTTACAGATTGTTATAATCTAGTCACCCTGGACTATTGCTTCAAGTAAAAAATAATAACTATACTTCTAAAATCTGTTAGAGAAAGAAATGGAATTACTTGAAGGTACTTTTATCTTAAAGATAACTTTTGATGACATCCGGGTTTTAAAAAACAATTCAAAGGCTTAGAAAATAAATTGTAACTGAACATGGAGGACAAACCTGGACATAAATTGAATAGTAAGGTCAGAATGCAGTTAATCAATCTGAAGTGCACTCTGGAAAAGATGTTAATAATGGCTAATAAAACGGCTGCTAAGCACTTTCAAGTATAAAGTACCATATAAGGTTAGTAATAATGATGATCATTACAATAATACTTTTCAATTGCAAAGCCTTTCTCCTATAAGGCTTTCGGAGAATTATGAAGACATTAAAACATTAGTGCTAATGACATTCTAAAAGAAAGTAAATGTTTAATATTTACAATGAATAACAGAATTACCCAAGCTTCTACAAAATGTGATGAAATCAGAACAACAGCTCTATTTGTATTTCTTCCCACATATTTGTAAACTTACATTGTGTCTTAAGTACCAGAAAAGTTTCTTCAAAAAATATCGTCATGAAAAACAGCTAGTCTTTCTTTCAACTTTGTTTTTCCCTCTCAATTACATAACGTAAAGATTCAGAGACATAAGAGAAGAAATGAGTAGAATGATATAATTGGATAATTATTACAAGACTTTATTATATGTTTCTATCAATTGATACATCATCTTTGTTGGCTCATTTGAAAGCTGTTGTATAGACATCGAAACCATGTACCCTTCAATACTTTAATGTGCATCTCTCCAAATCAAAACATTCTTTAACATGAACACACTTTCATTATCACATGAGGTCAGACCATTAAGATTGGGAACTCAACCTAGGAAAAATGCTCTGAAGGGTGGGCTAGGTGCTGGCATCAGTGCTCAGGGAGTCCTTTGAACGTGACCACAGTGAAATCCACCAATGAGGTCTGTAGTACTTTTTCTACGATAAGTTTGTCATGGGCAAAACTTTTATAAGACATCTAGTACTTAGGAAAATGGGCAGTTCTTGGGATGACTGTAAGAAACATTGCCAGTGTTACTTAGTTTCGTAGTTTCAGACCCTATCTGTACAAAAATTAAGTTTTCTAATATAATGCATATTCAGTTTTGTCCACTTTTTCTTAATCTTGTTATTTATAGTTTGGATTTAAACAGGAACTTCATCAGATTTATTTATTATATTCAGTTAGAAATATAATACAATATAAACCAATAACCTTAAATACTGAGTTGGACTTATAAATATGAACCTACTGTTAAGTACACGTACAGATATTTCTTACACCTATTTACCGAAACACCTTGCAGCAATGATATTGTAAATGCAGTGAGTACCCCAAACACCCCAAGATTTTATCATAGATACAATTTTTTTTTCAAACCTTGTGCTTTTAAATAAGCCTAACCCACTCAAGCTATTTGCTCTTGGACATCAATAAAATAGACTGGGGTTTTTCTTCTTCCTATTAGGTTTTCAATGACCCCTTCATTTTGCTCCTATGCAAATCTTTGATTTTTAGCTCATTTTGAATCTGTCTGGCTTCAGACCATTTCTACTGATTCCATTCCCTTTGAACTTGGTCCTGGAACTTACATTTCAGGTTTCTTTTCCTAATGATTTACATTCTACAAGATATTACGCAGGACACGTGTTATGTTCAATGATTCTAAGATATGCATACAGGCATTTTCTTTCTTTTTTCGCCTACTTAGTCTTAAATTATTTGCTATATTACTTGCTATAGTAATCAAAGTTGACTGGATTAGTGATGAGAGTATGGTAAACAGAATTATCTACAGGCTACCTGCAAAATATCTTGCAGCCTATACAATGACCTACAATAAGCATTTCGCCTAATCTCGAAATTCACTAATATATTATTTTAGGAAATTTAGAGTTTAGATATACAAAAATAGCACAGACAATGCAAAGACAGAAAACTTAAGAGTAATGGCAGAGGAAATACATAGGGAAGCAGATTTAGAAAAATCTAGAGGTAAGAGGATCTAGGTCATGAAGTCGTCAGAAAAGTAAGCACTGGGCGTTCATTTGATAAATTGATTGGGTCTCCAGAGCTGCAGCTGAGCTTGTGAAATTATTGCTGAGCCTCCACAATTGCTGTTAAATCCAAAACAGCAATGACAATTGCTTTGGTTCTTCATGAGAACTGGCTCTGTAACACTCAATATATTTTTCTTTATTTTGTTTGTGTTTACTAATAAATCCTACCTCTGGAAATAACCTGAAAGCAACTTTTTACCTTGCAATCTGGAAGGCACTAATTAAAATAGGCTGCAGAATACGTCCTGGTTTTACACATTTTTAATAGCTGCAAGTGTATTGTGCGACTCGTCTTAGAACTAAAAACCTGATTATCAGCCTCCCTAATTCTGTCTCTCAAATAAAGGAGATATGATACTTTTATTTATTGATTAAATATTTACTGAGGAACTGATTATACTCCAGGAGCTTTTCTCTGGGAGGATAGAATTCATATCTAATATGGGAAGCTATCAAATGGTTACAATTAAAATACAACAAGTTACATAATATCATAATCATGACTTTAAGCTAAGAAATACACAATGAGGTGAGTAACCCTTTTTTAGTGAGTCTGGAGAGAGTGAATAGGAGTTATAACATTTGTGATTCATCCATCATAAGCAAGTAGCAAATAGACATTCTGAAAAATAAATGAAAGAGACTTTGGGGAAGAAAGATATTCAGAGTTATGAAATTGTGAAGGGGGCA